GTCAGCTGTGAAGAGTCAAGACATAGAGGGACTTTTGGGAACCCTGTGTGGGGGCCACCCTCTTGCAGCCCAGGGCACCAAGCAGGCTGAGATGGGCTCTATTGGATAAAGGCGACCTCGAACCCGGCGTGACTGCTGGGAGAGGCTCGGCCTGGACGCTCAGCATTGTAGATAGAGCTTTGGGGTTTCTGTTCTCCCAAATGCAGGCCCAGAAAGAAAGGCTTTCGAGGAGTACTGGACCTGGCATTTAAGGTTGCAGGGTCTGGGGTCGTGTGGGCAACCTTTCTTCCTCAGACACTTCAGCCAGTCCTCCATCCTGGCTCCATCAGGCTCTGGCTTGGACGATTGGCATTTGGAGCAAAAGTACAGAAAAGAGTGAGTCGCACTTGAAGCCAAGACGTCCCAAAGCCGGAAGCCAAAAGCCACCGAGAAGGCCACGATTAAAGCCAGACCCCACCCAGCCCTAGGACGCCAATTTGAAGCCATAGAAGCTGTTGCCTGTATGAATTTACTTATGAAATACTAGGCACCCTTCACATATTCAGTGCTGTTCCCGGGCCCCCTAGGGCTCCGCCATCTATTAGCGAAGCCCAGACAACACAAATAGTAAGTTGCAACTGTGAAATTTCAAGACCAAATACTAATTCCAGAACAGGGCACTTGCAACCATCCACCCATCCAATTTGCCCTGTGGTCGCGTTCACTCTCTCCTTCCTCCCCTCCGACCCCCTTCGAATGCACTCAGCCTCTAAACAAGCACACAGCTTCTAAGAGTCCCTGTTTGGTAAGAAATAAGGGAGGACTTTGTCATGAAATCTGGGAAATAGCACACACTCTTGAGGCAACCCTGCCGCGGAAGAAATAACCCGGGCCCTGAGAATGCCCTACTCCAGAAAGTGTGACTGTACATTAAGTGGTTTCTACGGGACGCTAAGAGAGGAGAGAGATAATAGGAAAATATTCCTGGCAAGTAGAAAAGGGGAAAAGGAAGAGGAAATGAAGAGAAAAGAAAGGATCAAGAAAGAAGCTGCAGTGAAAACAAAAAGAAGAAGGGCTGGGGGGAGAAACGGAGAGCAAGTAGAGGCGAGCTTAGAAGATGGCAGGCCAAGGCGAAGGCCCCAGGACTAAGACCGGTCGCCGCTCCGGCAAGTCTGGCGCCTTCCCGCCCCGAGAAGCTGTCGGGGTCGCGCGGGACCCCCTCCACCGTTCAGGTGAATTTGAGCCCCTCTCCCCGTGGGGTGGGGCTGGCCTGGATCCTGCGGCCTCGGTGTGCTCTTTCTCTTGTCCCTCCCCAAGGACTGCAAGGCGGAAGAGGACGAGGGTGGGGAGGCCCCTGGGGGCGCACGCCAGTCCGGGACTGTTTGGGCGCTCTGGGCCAGGCTTTGCAGCTCGCCGGGCCTGACCTGTCAGGCGGATTATCTTCGAGGGAGATTAATAGGGGAGGCGGGCTGCAATAATAATCGTTTTGTTTGATGTGACAACTCTGATAGGCGTTGATTTACTTACAAACTGATAGGCTTTTAATTGAGCGCCTCCGCCGAGCCCGAGATGAAAGGGAAGCGGCGGTGAAAGGCGGCCCGCCTGCCCTCCGGCCTCAATACTGATTAGCCATCTCGACAGTGAACAGTTCAAGGCATTTTCAAACTTTTTTCCTCAGCTCTCTCCCCTTCCTTTTCCTCCTCCCACCCCGTCCTTAAATATCTGCCATGCCCATTTTTTTTTTTTTTTTTGAGAAAAACAAATCATTTCCATTGTGTGCAAATAAAACCTACAGGACATCCACGCCAACCGCTGCTAGTGGTTGAAGGCTTTAGGCTCAGCGCGGAGTAATTAATAACCACCCCCAGCTCCGGCCTTCTGGGCCTTTGGGGATTTGGCCTCCGGCGTAGGTGCGCAGGCTCTGTCCGACGATGACGCCTACCAAAAGACCCGTGCGCGCAGGACCCCAGGCGCCCCCGTGCGCTCGGACCTTGGGAGCTGAGTTTTGAGCAGAATAAACGCTCAAGGCCCAGGACCCGCGCCCACAAAGCACAGCGCATACCTATGAGGGTCTGAAGCTATAGCCGAGGGCATAGGAGCCACTCAAGGCTTCCCCGGCTTTGAGTGTTGGGGTGGCTCCCCCTGAGTTTCACTGTGTAATAAGAAAGCTGCTGGAATCCGAGAAGAGGAGAAAAAAAATGCGCCTGGAGATGGATAGGAGGGTGGGGAAGGACCCCCCCCCCCCGCGTGCGGTCATTCCTAGCTATGGCCGCTGCCCCATTCGGTGTCCAGGCCTGTTTGGGAGGCCTGGGCGACAAGCAACCCGAGGCCGAGCTCGCGACATTGGGAGCACTGCAGTTGGCCCCAGCTGATACCTAGACTGCCGTGCAGTATCGCGGGCAGACACACCCGCAGAATAAGAGAGGCTTTACAGACACGCAGAGCCAGCTTAGAATCTTTGGTCCTTAGAAACCAGCACCTGGGACTCGCACTCCAATGATCAAACAACCTTCACAACCTCACATGTGATCTCCCCCACGGTCTCACCGACTTACCTTCCTCAGTTTTCGAACAGAGACACTACAAAGCCCCTTGAGTGCAGGTGTGTTCTTACATGCACACAAACCCAGTCCCAAATGCACAAGACCGCATTCTCTTCTGTCCTCTCCAATCTAGCTTTAGTCAAGTTACCATCTCATAAAGTTGACCAATCTAAAGGATCAAGGGATAAAATTAAAACGCAGAAAAATAAACCCTGAGAGGAAATTCTAAAACTCACCCCAGAAAGTTCTCGGTACCCGTGCGGAGTGGGAGACAGAGACAGGAGGAAAGGGGGTAGGGTGGTGAGAGAGGAAAGGGCAAGCACGCCGAGGGCAGGTCCCAGATCTGACCCCCACGCGTACCCAGTTCAGCTCCGGGTGCTGCGCAGGTCTAAACCGGGTCTCCAGCCCCGGCCCCCGCCCCTTGTGCGGGCACAGACGGGCTCCAGGCTCCCAGCGCTCCCAGCCCGACCATTTATCAAAAGGACTTGACAACAAAAGAAGAGTCAGGCAGAAAAGTGGGGGAGGGGAGATTCAAAGTCTTCCAAGTCCTTCCGAGGAAGGGGTGTGTCTTCCTTTCACCCCCTTCTAGTTTCCGCGAGTTTCTGGAGGTGACCCTCGAACTCGCTCCACACGCTCCCAAAGCCCTGAGAACTCAGCGGTGCAGGCTTACATATACACAGTGCACCCAGATCCAGGTACACAGCGGCACGCACAGCGCCTCCCCTCTTCTTTCCAAACAGCCCGACTGACAGTGCAAATCGAGGGGAACGCCGCAGACCCGCTCCGCTTCCCTGGAAGAACCCGTGTTCCCACAGGCAGCCACCCCCTCCCTCTCTCGCTCCTTCCCTCTGCTCTCCAAGCGCAAGACAGTCCCGGCTCAGCGTTCCATTAAATTCGGGCAAGCGGCCCGACCGTAACCCCAGCTCCCAAGGCTGCGGGGATGGCGCGGGACGGATAATGGGGGAGGGTTTAGGGACTGGGAAAGAGTGAACCTTGAAACCTGTTTCCCCAAACACCCACGTTATGGTCTCTTTTCTGCAGCCTTTAATCCTAGCCGCGATCAAGATGGGCAAAGAATTGAGAATGTGTTGCCCCACTATTGACCTCCAGGACTCAAGGTTACGTTGGTGGGGTAGCTCTTGGAAAGAAGTCTCCAAGTTTAGGGTAGGGCACCATAGAACCAGGATCGCAGCCTGACAGCATGCTACACACCCCCGAGGGTATCCGGGGAAGCGGGAAATCTCCCGTATTAGACGTCGCCGCTACAGGTCCGGACACCCAGAGCGGCCCCTAACTCCGCGACCCCAACGGGCGGAAGACCCCAAAGGTGGAGGCTATACGTGTCTCTCCAACACATAGAGGAAGGCGCACATCCCGGGCCTGTGCGCCCCAGAGCGCCCTAGGCGCACCTGCGCACTTTACTCTCACAATGCATTTTCCTGACACTGAGCGCCTGCCGCCCCCCTTTGCATTCTTTTTCTTACTCCCACCTCCCCCGCTCATCCCAGGAGGCCGCTCCTCTTTTCCCCTCCTCCGGTTCCTTCGGTCTCTTCCTTCCTCTGTCTCTCTCTCCCTCTCTCTTTTTCCCTTCAAGTCGCACCCGCCTTGTAATCAGCAACAAAAGCTGACATAAATCACGGGCGGATTGACAAGAGCTGACAAATAACTGATTGATTGCGGTCGAGGCACATTGACAATTGATGGAGGGGTGGAGATGCCCAAAGAACGGGGGTGGGGGGGAGAGGAAAAAAGAGGGTGGCTGGGGAGAGTAAGAATGTGGGGGGGGGGGGCTGAAACAGAGGAAACATGTGACCCCCGCTCCTGCCCCAATCTGAGCGTCCTCAGGTGTCACGTGGCCAAGAAGGGCGGAGAGCCCAACGCACGTCGCGGGGATGAGCCACCACCGCCTCCGCTGCCCCTCTAGCTTCTGGTTTCTCTGCTGCGGAATCTCAGGAAATCAAAGCGGGCGGGCGGACTTCCTCCAGAACCCGCTCTCCACCTTTCCTTACCCTGGTGGCCGCGCCGCGCGAGATATCAATTACTAAAAAGAACATTTGTGTTCCGGCCCTCTGCACGCCCCTGGAGTTGACGGTCCGGCTGATCCACACTCTCGCCGGAGCTTCTTCTGGACGCCCCCGCGGTTTGCCAGCACACGCACCCCCACACACACACTCCAAAAGGTTTCAGTTTATTTTTTGAGCTGGGAAAAGAACGACCAGGATAAAAAAAAAAAAAAAAAAAAAAAAAAAGAGGGAGGCGGCAGATGGCAAACGTAGAATAAATGTCCATCTCGTCCTCCGAGCGAAATCGAGGGAGGGGACTCGCTGGGGGGTGGCAAAGAAGGAGCTGCCCATTAAAACCAGCTCTGAGAGTCCTGGCGGCGGCGGCGGCGGTGGCGGCGGCGGCGCGGGACGCGTCACATCCCCTTGACCCTCCAATCACCTCGGGCTCCCATTTGATTGGAAGGCGGCAAAGGCTTTAATCTCCCCCTCGGTGCAGCTGCTTTTGAAGTGAGTTTCCTCGCCAGAGCCCCGGCTGGACAAGCAGCAGCTCACATCGTAGAGCGCAGCGCCGGCTCGGGGCCGCGAGAGCGCAGCGCAAGGGCGCAGCCCGAGGCGGACGCCGCTAACCGCTCCGCGCTCCCGCAGTCCCGCCGGCTGCTCCGGCCGGGCCACCGTTCCACTGCGGGCCACCCAGGATTATTCGCCCCTGGCTCCAGGCGCCAAGAAGGCGTACTGGGCGCCTGAGGCCGCCGCGCCAGCTCCTCCTCCTGCTGCTGCTGCTGCTGCTGCTCCTGCTCCCCGGGCGAGCGCGCAGCCCCGAGCCCGCCCCGCGCCTCCGGGAGCCCTCCCCCCGCTGCTCCCATGCGTGCGGGTGGGTCATGAGCACAGCGCCCTCGCTTTCTGCCCTAAGAAGCAGTAAGCACAGCGGCGGCGGCGGAGGCGGCAGTGCGGACCCTGCCTGGACCAGCGCTCTCTCTGGAAATAGCTCCGGCCCCGGCCCAGGCTCGTCCCCGGCCGGCAGCACCAAGCCTTTTGTGCACGCCGTGCCCCCCTCTGACCCCCTGCGCCAGGCCAACCGCCTGCCCATCAAGGTGCTGAAGATGCTGACGGCACGGACTGGCCACATTTTACACCCCGAGTACCTGCAGCCCCTGCCTTCCACTCCCGTCAGCCCCATCGAGGTAAGGACTCTCTCCCAGGGTTGACCTAGGACCACTACCTTCGCTGCTCCCTACAGGATTTCTTTCTCTGGGGATCTGAGAGTGGGGGTGGGGTGTCGGAGTGATTCAGCTCTGGGATGAGGGAGAGGACAGCGCTTCAGCACCTCAAAACTAGGGCGCAAAGGAGGAAAGAGGCGGAACGGGGTGTGAATGCCAGGGAGCAAGGAGGCCCAAACTTGTTTCTCTCCTTTTAGTTAAAACCTCTATCCCAACCCACACACCTTCCTACTCGGTCCCGAAGTCGGGCGGGGACCTGAATACCGTTCGAAAGTCTGGTCCTCTCGCTGCCCATAAACTAGTGTATGTAAGCAGTCTCTGAGGCGCCGACTGCCCAAGCCTTTGAAGAATTAAGAGATGTGTGTGGGGAGTGGTTACAGTTCTGGGTCTAGGAGCCGAAAACCAAAACATTTTGTAAGGTGCCCCCCCCCCCAAATCAGTTAGCACTAAGAGACTGCGGGAAAGATCTTGACAGAGGTTTTGGAGTGGGTTCTTCCGCCTTTCCCAAGGGCGAGAATCTTTGCAGTGTCTGTGGAGGGAGTGTCTCCGGTCTGAAATGCTCTTAGCGGGCTGTTTCGGAGGGGCATTATAAACCAGGAATCTAAAGGGTTTCCCCCTTTTTTTCTATGACCCCTCTTCCACCTCCCCGGTCTGACCCCGCAGCTGGATGCCAAGAAGAGCCCGCTGGCACTGTTGGCGCAAACATGTTCACAGATCGGGAAGCCGGACCCCTCGCCCTCTTCCAAACTCTCTTCGGTTGCCTCCAATGGGGGCGGCGCGGGTGGTGCTGGCGGCGGCGCCGGGGGCGACAAGGACACCAAGTCGGGCCCCCTGAAGCTGAGCGACATCGGCGTGGAGGACAAATCGAGTTTCAAGCCGTACTCCAAACCTGGCTCGGATAAGAAGGAGCCAGGAGGCGGCGGCGGGGGCGGCGGCGGCGGGGGCGGCGGCGGGGGTGTTTCGGCAGAGAAGTCTGGATTCCGGGTACCGAGCGCCACCTGCCAGCCATTCACGCCCAGGACAGGCAGCCCCAGCTCCAGCGCCTCGGCCTGTTCGCCCGGCGGCATGCTGCCCTCGGCCGGGGGCGGCCCAGAGGGCAAGGACGACAAGAAAGACGCTGACGCGGGCGGTGGCGGCAGCAGCAAGGGTGCCGGGGGCGCCTCGGCGGAAGGGGGACCCACCGGGCTGGCGCACGGCCGGATTAGCTGCAGCGGCGGAATTAATGTGGACGTCAACCAACACCCGGATGGGGGTCCCGGAGGCAAGCCCCTAGGCTCTGACTGCGGCGGCTCCTCGGGCTCCAGCTCTGGCTCGGGCCCCAGCGCACCCACCTCCTCCTCGGTGCTGGGCTCTGGGCTGGTGGCTCCAGTGTCTCCCTACAAGCCAGGCCAGACAGTGTTCCCTTTGCCTCCCGCGGGCATGACCTACCCAGGCAGCCTGGCCGGGGCCTACGCCGGCTACCCTCCCCAGTTCCTGCCACACGGCGTGGCACTGGATCCCACCAAGCCCGGCAGCCTGGTGGGGGCACAGCTGGCTGCGGCAGCGGCCGGCTCTCTGGGCTGCAGTAAACCGGCCGGCTCGAGCCCTTTGGCCGGGGCGTCGCCACCGTCTGTGATGACAGCCAGTTTGTGCCGGGACCCGTACTGCCTCAGTTACCACTGCGCCAGTCACCTGGCAGGGGCAGCAGCCGCCAGCGCCTCTTGCGCTCATGATCCCGCCGCTGCGGCCGCAGCGCTCAAATCCGGATACCCACTGGTGTACCCCACGCACCCACTGCACGGCGTGCATTCCTCGCTAACGGCCGCTGCCGCTGCGGGCGCCACACCGCCTTCCCTGGCTGGCCATCCCCTCTACCCTTATGGCTTCATGCTCCCTAACGACCCTCTCCCCCACATCTGCAACTGGGTGTCGGCCAACGGGCCGTGCGACAAGCGCTTTGCCACGTCCGAAGAGCTGCTGAGCCACTTGCGGACCCATACGGCCTTCCCTGGGACAGACAAACTGCTGTCGGGCTACCCCAGTTCGTCCTCTCTGGCCAGCGCCGCGGCGGCAGCCATGGCTTGCCACATGCACATCCCCACGTCCGGCGCCCCAGGCAGCCCAGGGACGCTGGCGCTGCGCAGCCCCCATCACGCGCTGGGACTCAGCAGCCGCTACCACCCCTATTCCAAGAGCCCGCTCCCCACACCCGGCGCCCCGGTGCCGGTGCCCGCCGCCACCGGACCCTACTACTCTCCCTACGCCCTCTACGGACAGAGACTGACTACCGCCTCCGCACTGGGGTATCAGTGAGGGCTGCCGGGAGGGTTACCGAGCGAAAGGAACTGGGGGAGGGGAGGAGCCCAGGGAGGGGCGGGATCCCGGCGGAGGCTGTTGACACCCGCGAGTGGGGAAGACCCACGCTACCGAAGGAAAAAAATATATATATACCGTATGTACCTATCTACCCATCAACAGCGAACGAGACCCGGTGGGAAACTCCCCTTTCCCCTACTTCTCACCTCCCCCACCCAAACTTTATAAAAGTTGAAAAAAAATATCATTTGACTTTTTATAAAAAAAGGAAGGAAAAAATTGAGAAGGTGTTCATCTGAGGACTTCATCGGTGGACACTGGTATTTATTTATGTTAGCTCCAAGCGGACCCGTGGTTCAAAAGTGCATTATTTAGTTTGAGCTCCGTAGGTAAAAAGGAGGAGGGAAACTTTTTTTTTTAACTTGAGGGTAAAAATGTGGAAAACAAACCCTCCCATCCCTTGTAGATTATAAATAAAAACAAAACCGCCACAGAACTAGAGGTCTTCTCTTTAATGTTACTTTAAAATTGCTATGATTGTATCGTACGTTCTTATTTAATGTCTGACTGAAACACAAATTTACATGCATGTTTGTTACAAAAATGAAAAAGACGAAACAAGTAACAATTTGTCAGTTCTAATTTCAAATTGCAATTATTTTTAAGGTGTATACCATCAAAAGAGAATGGGTATTTTTTTGTATGTATTCTGGAAGAAAACAAAAAAAAAAAAGGAAAAACAATTCTATTCCAAAACCTCATTTGCCTTATTTTGTTCTTTAAAAGGAACACTTAACTATTTTTAATTTTTAAGTCCACCCGCTGAGAAGGGGACAAGGTTTACGTCATGTACTAAAATAATAGACAATGTATCGCTTTAAAGATTAAATTCCGTATATTTGATGTATTAAAAGGTTTTACTTCTTCTTATCATTTTTTATTTTTTGGTTGAAGAGCAGAGCCGGGCAGTTTCGGCTGCTGTGGGTTCCCGGGGCCTCACCGCTACTCTTCCCAGGATCCGGGCCGAATTTCCTATTGCTTTGTTGTGATTTTCTGAAAGAGGCACAGGCTTCGGAAGGGCCAGCCAGCCGCGGGGTTGGCCTTCAGGAAAATGTTCTTAAAGGGGGAAGTTTGGTGACCTTCGCTATTGCTCATTTCGTTTTTATTTAAATCTTCTCTGAGCAGCTGGCTTGTTAAAAGTGAAAGGGTGGGGGGGGGAGGCCTTTTTGTTTTTGTTAAGTTCTCCTCTTGAGATTTTTGGGCATTTGGGTTTCGTTTTTTTTGCAGAGAGCGGAGCAGGCTGGGACACGCCGTCCGGGCCAGGGCTTCGAGGACCTGCGGCCACCGGCTGTCCCTCGCTTCACTTTCTAAGCATCCCCTGCCCCGGGCCAGCAGCCCGGATAAACTGGGAGACCGAGGGGCTCTTGGGGAACCAGTTGCCTGGGCCTAGAAAGAGCGCGCGGAACCCTCTTGTCCCTCGGGAGTAACGTGAGTTGGCTCTGCTTTTCTTCTGGCGGCCTAGGGTCAACCAGACATCACTGCCTGATCCCGATGCCCACCCCCGGGCTCCTTCCTGCCGCGGGAGTACCGGCCCGCTGCAGGCCGGCGCCGCCGCTGCTTTTCCCTGTCTGCATTGCTCCACAGCCCTCACTCCATCCCGGTCCGCGCCGCAGGAGAGCGCGCTGGGGCAAGGGACCCGGAAGTCCCTTTAAATTCGGCCCTGTGAGGGCCTGAGTGTCTCTGCTCCGCCTCTCGGGGCGACCGAGTGGGCGCCGAGTGCGGTTCTGGACGGCGAGTTCCTCTGGGCTAAAGCGCGGCGGGAGCCTGGGTCCCCGCGCGGATCCCCGCTGTGCGGCCGCTCCCTTCTCCCCAACTTGGACCCCGGGACAGAGCTGCAGGAATGGCAGATGGAACCGCGTAATGACCCAATCGCTTCTGGGCGGGGGAGGGGTTCCGACGCTCTGTGCCCGCTCCCTACACCCCAGGCCTGGGCTCAAGCTCTGGTCTTGTGGCGGTTTGGGAGCGCTGGGCCCGAGGAGCCCTTTCTTGGGATCCTGGACCAAAGTTGCGGCGCTGAGCGAGCACCTCTAGTTCTTGAGTTTTCTTGGGTCTCAGGCTTCCCGCGGTGCCCAGCTCTCGCCGGTGCCTCTGGGGGCTGCGGAGAGTGCGCCTTCAACCTCGAGCCCGGGTGCGACAGCCGCCGGGCCCCGCAGCCATTTGCGCGGGGGTTAGTGACTTTGAGATTTTCCACCCTCCTCCCATCGCCTGCCTCGCGGCTGCTGGGCCTTTTCCCGGGTCGCACGCAGAGCAGCCCCAGGCGACCTCTGGGACTCCGCCGGGAGCTCCCAGGCCGCTGCCCGAGCCCAGGTGGTGGAAACTCAGGCCTCGCCGCCCCTTCTCTGGGGATAGTCTCGGGCGCCTCTGAGAAACTGACGGAGGGACGCCTGGAGACCCAGAAACGAGAAGTGGCGCCTGAGAAGGATCCTGGCCCTTAGCGTCCGGGGACACTGCTGCCCGGCTCCCACTGTGGTCCGGCCTAGAGAGGCTAGGCTGGGCCTGGCTCTCGAGAGTCCTGGCCGACTGGCCGGGTCGTCGTCCCCAGCTCTCCGACAAATAGCCCCGCACCCCCCCCCCCCACACACACACACACATCACCACCATTATCACCACCAGGGGGGCGAGGGGGATGTTCACCGAACGGTGCGACCAGAGTCTCCACACTCCATCGCCTGCAGCTAGGGACCTGAGAACCGCTGCTCATCCTCTCACCAGCACTAGCCAGGCGACCCTGGCCACCGTGACCCGCAAGCTTTGTCCTTTGCCTTTGGCGGGATCTCTGGGCCGCAGACTCCTGGCTCGCCAGGACCTGCTCGGGCAGGGAAGTACCTAGAAATTCCACCGCCTTGAGATCCAGGCCTGGGACCGGCAGGGAGACGAATGGGACGTTCGTACCTTTGTGCCCCCTCCTGGTATCTTATTAACAAAAACCAAAACCCTTAAATTTTTTTTTTTATGAGACCTTCTTCCCGGAGAAGTTACGCAACGGCAGCAAAATCCCAGTGTTGCAGGACCGGGGACTGGGGACAAAAAGGATTCCCCGACGTGTTGGACGTAGCCAAGTCACCCCTGTCTCCAGTTAGTGAAGGGAGAGTGCCAGTATGTACTGCGTGTCCCAGGAGAGGTTCGAGCCTCCTCCTCGGGGGAATCAACGCCCTTCCCCACCGTCCTCCCCTCCAGTCGCCCCCTCCGGCGGACCTCTGCTCCTTTCTCCTGAAAGCCACAGGAGCCCCTGCGTGGCAAAACAGCGACTGGAGCCCGAGCGGAGAGCCGCGCGTCCGCCAGGCGGCGCTGCGGAGCCGGGCGGAGCGGGAAGGAGACATGGAACCCCTGCCTGCTACTAGGTAGTCATCCCAGGACCCCGCGCTGCCTCCACCTTCGCGTGGCTTTCGGGGTGGTGTCCTCTCCCTGTCGTTCCTCGCTCCTTCTTGACTACTGCGAACCATCTGCCCTGTCCCTCTTCACCTGCTCCAGCTCTGCCATTGCTTTCTCTTGCTCTGCCCCTATCCCTAAAGGGTTGGCCCAGGCGAATGGGTTCCTCCTCACCTAGTGGAGCGCCCACCACCACCCTCAAGGCTCCCATAGGTTACATTGTCTGCCATACTGAAAAGGTCTCCACACACCTGTGCATCTATTCGGTCCTTCATTCACGGATTATTTCGTAGCAGGATGGCACATTCCTTTACTGGCACTCCACACTGACAGAGAAACTGAGGCTAAGTCCTGGAAGCCAATGTCAAGCTCAGGCCTTTTTCTCCATTCAGCCCTATCCCTGCTTGTCTCTCTGGTGGCGACACCAAGTGACCCGGGTGTTCTGGTGCTGGATGACTCAGAATAAATATGGATGAGGAAAGTGTGCCTCAAAGATAGGGAAAGATCAGCTGCTGAAATCTGTCCCAAGGCTGGGCCCCCCACCCCCAGGTAAGCACTTCCAACACAAATAGAGATGCCTTTAACACACTGTTCACTCCTGGCTGCCAGTGTGTTACGAATTCACCCACATTCACAGCAGTGGTCTACCTGCTCAGACAGAGGCACACCTGGGTCTGTGTGGCATACACTTAGGGTCTCAAGCAAATGGGAGGGGAAAGGAAGCAGGCACTGTGTTTGATCTGTGAGGAAAGGCAAATGAAATGCCCTTTCTAGGTGATGAACCTGTGCTTTGGAAAACTCATAAAAGTCACCCAGGAGGTGGACCTGTCCCTTGCTAGGCTCTGCACTGGCCTCTGCTACACACATTGGCTTAGGGTTGCTCACCCCTGAGGCTAGCAGTCTCATGATGCTTGGAATGACTGCCAAGCCCTGATGGCCTGCTCACCCCTGTTATGGACTACTTCCAGCCCGTATTATCCTGTGTTACCCCATTTAAACTTCACTACTGCACAAAAGTAGACACATCAATAAATAAAATAACAAACTTCACAATAATTCCATAAAGTCATTTGCCTTCATCCCATTTTTCAGAAGAGGAAACTGAGACTTGACAGGGGAAACACACCAGTGTAAGATCCCATAGCTAGTGTGGTAGAGTATAGAAGCTGGATTCTCACCTAGACTGTGGACCTGAGGAGATGTGAAAGTAGAACATTGCCTGGGAATCAGAGATCTGGTTCCACTAGGGAAGCGAGTGGTGGACATAGTTGGTGGTGGTTGTTGTTTTTCTTAAGTATTCTGTTATTATTTTTTGTTATGAAGATTTTCAAACACACAGAGGTAGAAGGAATAGTGTAATGGACCCCCATTAAGTCCATCACCCAACCTCAACCATTATCAACTCATGGGTAATCTTATTTCCTCTCTACCCCTCCAATTTGCCACCATTCCCATTATTTTGAAATGAAAACAGGCATTTTATCCTTTCACTTCAGGTGTTTGTCACTTCCAGCCTGGTCTGTTTTACCAGCCTAAGGCTTATACCCACTGCCCCACCTAAGTTGAGGCTAGGTGTGGTTGAGGATTTTGATCAAAGTCTCTGGCAAAACTGGAATTGGAGCTCGTTTCTACAGAGACCAAGCACTTACAGCTGTCCAGTGCCAGGGGTGTATAAAAGGCCCAGGGGGACTGAGCCCTCTCTGCCCAGTGTGACACCAGAGTGTGCCCTAGGGGCATCTGCCCTGTGAAAAGATTTCACAGTGCAGTGCCCGGTGGGGACACTCAAACTGCAAGGGACATTCTAAGAGTGAGAACAGCTTAAAAGCATATGAAGCCGCACATTGGTGGTGCACGCCTGTAATCCCAGTGGCTAGGGAGGCTCAGGCAGGAGGATCCTGAGTTCAAAGCCAGCTTCAGAAACTTAGTGAGGCCCTGTCTCTAAGTAAAATATTTAAAAGGGCTGGGAATGTGGCTCAGTGGCTGAGTGCCCCTGAGTTCAATCCTCAGTTTTCTCTTCAATAAAATGGGAAACACTGATACCAACCAACTGGGGTTGTTGTGAGGCTCCAGTGAAATAATAAATTTGAGGCTGGCTGTGTATCTCAGTGGTAGAGCAATTGCCTAGCATCCAGTTGTCCTTGGCACTGAAAATAATAATAATAATAAATTGAAATA